ATTATTGTTGCACGTGAATGTTTAGGATCAAAAGAAGCTAATAAATAAGATAATCAAACAAATAATAACAGATACAAACAAAGGCACAGATATAAACAAATTAATAGGGAATGTGCTTCCCTGTTTTGAAATTACTTGAAGAAGTCTACGATCCATAGAATTTGTTAATTGTAGGATGTCATCTGCTGTAATGCCGTGAGATATGTCAAGAATTGCTTTCCACAACTCAGCGTTGCTCCTGAATTGTCGTCCGTTGGCGTACAGTCTTCGCTTCATGATGCTCCAAAGTTTTTCGATTGGGTTCAAATCCGGAGAATTTGCTGGCCACTTCATTTTTCGAAGTCTATCGAAGCCTAACTGTTTCAAATATTCAGTAGTCTTGTGAGCAGCATGTGAGGGAGCATTATCTTGCATAAAAACAATTGCCCTTCTGAAAGCAAGTCTTTGCCTTTTCATCCACGGTTCAAGATGCTCCTTCATAAACGCTATGTATGCAACAGCAGTCATTTTGACGCCATCTGGTACACTCCATGAGCCCACTAATGTTTTTCCAATAATACCACCCCAGATCATTATGCCTCCACCGCGTTGTTGGCGTCTCAAACGCTGATGGAGATTCTGTCCGTTCATTACCCAGCCTTTGCACCATTTATCTGGCCCATCAAGTGTTGCTCGAGTTTCGCCTGTGAACAAAACTTTAGAGAAGTCAATCTTCATATTGTCCTCGGCCCATTTCAATCGATTTGAATGTGATTTCTCGTCATCGGAGGCTTCTATACAGGTTTGACTGTTGTTGCTATTTCCCTCAGATACCGACACCGAGTACTTTTAGACACAGTAGGATTCCCAATGCGACTGAAAAACTTTTGACTGGTAAATCCAGGGTCCTTCGTGGCCTCTCGTTTAAGTCGTTACATGAGACGACGTGAAATAACCTTCGGCTTGCTTTTATCTGCTGTTTTGCGTACTTGTGTAGGGTCGGGGGTGAACTTTTTTTGATGACACCTCCTATCATTTTAGAAATTTCTACGGTAGATTTACCTTTTGAGAGTTCTGAGGTGATAGTTTTCTTTTCAGCATCACTTAAACTGCTTTTACGACCCATCTTTTTACTAAATTCTTACACTTTTATAATAATTTGGCACTGTCAAATCACCGTGCTGATAACAAACACAGCGCCAGTTTGTTTACATTGCGCAGATCAGTACTAACAATTCAGTGATTGCGCAGGTCTGTGTTGCCAACATTGTGTGAAAATTTTTGTGTGAATTGATTGGAGGGTTTTTGAAATATTAGGAAAAAAGTTATCTCGATAATAATTTGGCACGCAGTGTATATATACACACATAGCGGGGTTCAACCTTTACAAAGCCCAGGGTCCAGTTGAGGTAGGGGCTTACGTGTGGAGGCCATTTGTGTATATAGGAAGGGAAGATAAAAGTTAACCCTAGCCAGGAACAGGTTAAGATTGTAGATGAGGGAAACACCCAATTTGGAGCCGAATCAACAGAGCAGATGTGTTTGTGTATGAGTGTGTTTTCTTTGTGTGTGTGTCTATGAGTGTATGTGTGTTTATGTCTGTATAATTCCACTGCCTAAATTTTATCATTTAAAGAACGTAAAAATAAATTAAAATTCTGCAATTTTACCTGATCTCCAAGAAGCATATTGGTGAAAACTGATTACACATACGCATAAACTCACGCACACGTACATACACACATACCTATAGATATATGTTTTACATACACCCACGCAAATATATATATATATATGTTTTATGTTATAATTTTCGAATAAATTATTATATATATATATATATATATATATATATATATATATATATATGTATGTATATATATATATATATTGTGTGTGTGTGTGTGTGTGTGTGTATATTTGTGTGTGTGTATAAAGATATGTGTGTATATTTATAATTGTATGTCTTCATGTGTGCGTATGTAAGTGGTAATTTTCAATTATATGCTTCTTGGAATTCAGGGTAAAATTCTAGTATATATATATATATATATATATATATATATATATATATATATATATATATATATATATATATATATATATGTGTGTGTGTGTGTGTGTGTGTGTGTGTGCGCGTGTGTATATTTGTGTGTGTGTATAAAGATGTGTGTGTATATTTATAATTGTATGTCTTCATGTGTGCGTATGTAAGTGGTAATTTTCAATTATATGCTTCTTGGAATTCGGGTAAAATTATATATATATATATATATATATATATATATATATATATATATATATATATATATATATATATGTGTGTGTGTGTGTGTGTGTGTGTATATTTGTGTGTGTGTGTGTGTGTGTTCATTCGTATGTAAGTGGTAATTTTCATGCTTGGAACTCAGGTAAAAAAATTATATATATATTATATATATATATATATATATATATATATATATATATATATATTTTTGCATTATTTCTTGTGTGTGTTCATTCTCTTTTTTTCATTCAGTTTTTTGATTATTTCTTGTTTCCTTTCTTTCCGGACTGTCCTTCTTTTCTTCCTAACTCAAGCCGTCCCTTCTTCTGTGTCTCCTTGTATTTCTTTCTCTCTGTTTTCTTCCTCCTTTTTTTTTATTCCCCCGCCTCCTCTCCCCAGATCGATTAGATCGATTAGATTCTTTTCAATCTACACGTTACATAACAATCGAACAATGATTTCAGTCCTACAGAAAGATGCCAGCCATGTTTCCTCTAAGCCTAACGTCTTTCACAAAAAACTAATCCACTGATTCTTGCCAGAGTCTACAAATTAGAATATCCAAAAAAATAAATAAAATGAAAAAAAAAAAAAACAAGATCGTTCAAAGTCAGCCTTTAGAAACACGTGAGTATTTATTTGCGTATATACATATGTATATATGCGTGCTTCTCTTTGTGTTGGTCTGCGTTGTTACATTGTATGTGTACCCATATGTGTGACTATACGTGTATGCACTTGTAGGAAACTTGTTAAAGAAGACGAAGAAGACTTTTCTTGTGGTTCAGTCGTTCATGTTGAATTTTCTTTCGGGTACTTACAGGATTTATTTATTTACTACCATCTTTACGTCTCCATACTGCGTTTTTTTTCTTCTTCTGATAATGATGTCAAAATGTTCGCGTTTTGATTGAATATATTTATTAAATCGGTAGTAATAATAATGAGAGCCTATATTTCGGCTTTAAATGAGAAGCTGATAAGCCGTAAAACAAAACAACGAACCAACCAACTACAAACATCCTCCTTGTTATTTCAGTAAAAATTTTCAGATTAAATCGTATAAGAAAACATAATGAATATCATCTTTAACGGCCACTCTTCTAGGTCCCAGGGCACTATCATTAAACCTACTTTTTTCCATATTTTTATCAACGTCCTTCACATTAGTCTCCGACCCTGTATCCATATTGGTGATACCGGTATTTTAATACTAAGTGTGATCGGTTCGATAAATTCTAATTGGCTGCTTATCTAAAAAGAAAAAAAAAAGACCTATAATCTAGTGTTAATAGTGGCTTGGCATGGCTTAGACATAGTAACGCTTCAAAACGAAACGGCTTTAATTAATTCATTTATATTCAAACATGTTTTGCCTTCCATCTCTCTGTGGCTAAATGGTTAACAAGACATCAGATCAAATGACGGCTCGCATAAAGGTTACAGGTTCGATTCTTGTCGGAGAGCGCATATTTTTTACGAAATTTCTCGAACATTCAGTCCAGTAAATGTAATTAAAATTTAATTAAAAAAAAACAAACAAACAAAAAACAGATCATTTACTTAAATAAATTATATCTTTACCAATAACGTATAAACAGAATAAATAGAATATATATATATATATATATATATATATATATAGTGAACATGCTGAACGCAATCGTCAGGCGGCCTGACGATTGCGTCCAGCATGAAACAGCCTGTCGCCTCTGAGTGTTGACTTCAATGTTCACTTTTTATATTTATATTTACATACGCTCTATCTCTGATATTGAGCACTTTATCCCATAAATATATAAAACCTTAAAATATATATATATATATATATATATATATATATATATATATATATATATTAAACGTCTTATCAATCAATCGATTTTGTTGTCGCCTAGTCTTTTTTTCTTGTTTCCCTCCATTCAATTATGTTCGCCGAGAATGCGCTTAAATTTCTTCCCAACGAGTTTTGCATAAATCTGGTTCACACACCCGCGAATACACACACATACACACACACACACACACACATATATATATATATATATATATATATATATATATATATATATATATATATATATTCTGTTTATACGTTATATATATATATATATATATAGAGAGAGAGAGAGAGAGAGAGACAATGATGTCAGCACCCAGAGGCGACAGTCTGTTTTATGCTAAACGCAATCGTTAGGTCATCTGCGTTCTGTTTTGGTTATATATATTTATATATATATATATATATATATATATATATATATATATATATATATATATATATATATACACAATTAGAATTAAGATACCTTTAATTAATGACCATTTTCGCCTACGAATTTTAATTTTAAATTTCACAGAATTTTTAAAACTGTTTACGGTATCATTTACCAATCGCACTTTGCATGTATGGAAAATAAAATCTAAAACCGTTGGCGGAACCATCACACAACTTTCCAAAAAACCTGAATATTCTGACCCAAGAGAAAAAATCTCGAACAAGGACAGCAGAGTCTCTTTTCCCACAACTAGCCAGTATCCTACTACAAACTGATACCTTAAACAGTTTGACAAGTCCTGCGAATTTTAAAATTAATATTCGTAGGCGAAAATGGTCGTTAACCAAAGGTATTTTAATTCTAATTGTAAAGTAAATTTGGTCTGTTTAATGAAAATAAACAATGAGCGTTCTTTTGCGAATCAGTTTTAATATATTTCAAATTCTATGTTTTGTTAATAGAACTCTCCAACGTGTATATATATATATATATATATATATATATATATATATATATATATATATATATATATATATATATATATATAGCGGTCACTGATGCATTGTGGGTAGTTTAGGTGGGCGGAAAACGGTTATAATTTTAATAATCCTCGGGGTTATTGAGAGGAATAATTGTGGATCCCAACGCTATTCATAGTGCAGTCTGTTGACTATTTAAAATTTATTATTGATTATTTTATTGTTGCTTGCTATTACGACGTTTTCTTGTGTTTATCATAGATACAATACAATAAACTACCCACAATGCATCATTGACCTGTATATGTAAATAGACGAGATAAAACGTCATGACTTTTGAGTTTAGAATGAAACATACTGTCGCCTCTTGCTGTTGACTTCAATGTCCACTTTTATATTCACATACGTACTATTTCTGATATTGAGCACTTTAACCAATAATTATAGAATACCTTAAGAGTAAATTTTCTCTCTCTCTCTCTCTCTCAAGCACACACATATATATATATATGTATATATATATATATATATATATATATTATAAATTAATTGATTTAAAATATGTTTTTTTCGCTACACAGTTCTAACCATGTTTCAAAATGGAAGCTAAAAGCCACGAATTTAATTTTGTGATTAAATAAAGACATTAGTTTCATTTCATCCTCAAGCGAATTTTAATCACAAAATTAAATTCGTTGCTTTTTAGCTTCCATTTTGAAACATGGTTAGAACTGTGTAGCGAAAAAAAACATATTTTAAATCAATGAATTTATAATATTAATGCTCTGTAAATTTACATTGAGCACTATTTTGTAAAAATAAAATATCTATAAGAACACCGGATTATATATCTTGCTGTTCTTTCTTTTATTTATATATATACATACATACATACATACATACATATATATATATATATATATATATATATATATATATATATATATATTTATATATATATATTATAATATTTTTAGTATAATAGATTATAACAAAAATCATTTTACATCGCTACACAAAAGCTTTCATGTTTCAATATTTCCTTGTTATAAAAATGATTTTCAGAAATTTAAAAACAAATCGTTACCTATTTTCGGAAGTTAAAGGGGGGCATATGGTCAGAATCACCCTTCCCCCGCCACACACACACCTTTAACATTCGAAAAAAAGGTAAAGATTTTTTGATAACGTTCATTTTTATCACGAGTTATCTATCACCCCCAGAGGAATTACAATCATAGTATTGATACATTAAAACTTTTGTGTGGCGATATAAAATCCTTTTATTATAATCTATTTTAATATAATAATCATAATTTGCTATACTTTGTACTGAGCACGTTTTTTTTTAAAAAAAGTAAATGCTACGAATTTTGAATTTTTACTCCATTTGTTATATTTCTTGTATATATATATATATATATATATATATATATATATATATATATGTGTGTGTGTGTGTGTGTGTGTGTGTTTTAGAAACAAATATGGCTCGGACTCTGCTTAAATTCATAAAGTCTACGTACCAAAAGAGCAACGTTCAGCAGAACAATTACCATGAAAACATTTATTGAAAAGGCAGAGGAAAAGCTACGTGACGGCATTGGGGAACTCGTTTATTTTAAAATCTTCCCGATATTCTTGCGAAATCGTCGAATATCTTTCTCTTTCTAGGGCTCCAATTCTTTCGTTACACCCAACTTCGCTTATATATATATATATATATATAATTGTGTGTGTGTGTGTGTGTTAGAAACAAATATGACTCGGAATCCAACAAAATGATAAGACAAAAGTCGAATAGAAAAAGTTTGTTTTTTTTCAATTTACATGTTTCACTTTTATTAAAGCTTCATCGAAGACTGAGATATGGAGAAAAAGGAAAGAAATTCTGCTATTTATAATTTTGTGTTGTTTGATTTTCATTGGTCAGTCATGTATCACGTGCATTCCCCTCTTTTAAAACAACGTTAGTATAATTTTTGGCCTTCAGAATTTAAGGAGAGATGACACGTCATCCGAATTTGAATGAAATTAACGGACACAAAACCTACCTGAAAAAGACGTAAATATTGGTATATGCACGAAAGTTTAAAATAATTCTATTTTGTCTATGTGGGCATCAGATGTTGATGTGTATTCTTAACTTGGTATGTGTATGTGTGTGTTTCTAGTAGATGTTATGTTTGCTAGTTTTTTTATATGTTGTTTTGGGAAATTTTTGAAAATACCATCGCGAAAATTCCATAATGGTCATATTGAAGTTTTCAGTTAGAATTATATATGATGAGTATATGTCAGTAAATCCGTAGTCTTGGTACTGCTATTATTTTGCTAGTTCTATTATTTAAAAAAAAAAAAAAAAAAAACTACCTACGCAGTCTGTGGCGTTCGCTGATCAACAATTCACCGTTTGTCAGTGATGAATCGGGAGAGAGAGTAACAACTATGGGTCAAGTTTAAAACTGGTATCGGCGCGCATGAAAAATAAAACCGTTGAATCGATCGGTATATAAAAATCCGCTCCAAACAGGATTTAAACAGTCGTTTCCCCATCTCATGCGGCGTTTGGCGTGTGTTTCCATGTTTTAGACGAGGCCTCTGTGCGTCGCACGACACACACTGACTGAGAGTTAATAGATGATGTCAGTAGTTGAATAAAAACATGATGTTCAATATGAAAGATGCACGTCGCCTGTTACTCATTATTTCGCATTCCTTTCGCCAACCCACTCACACTTTGTTATAGGTCAATAGAGATGTCGTTAATTAAGGGCACTGACAAACGAGATGATGTATGCTGTCTTTATTGCGTAAAATAAATATTTTTCTTCATTATTTTGCGTGCGAATTTAATTAACTCAGTATAACGGAGCACGTGACCCATTAGGTCCGTTGGAACGTTATATATGCTGCGTCTGTGGCAACCATGAGTGGGCCTAAGGTAATATAGCCTGATAGAGCATATCACACTTCAGACTGTTTTGGAAGTCATTAACAGTCTGCTTTTCCTACCAAGGCTAATATACCCAGTCTGCTCTATGTTGATTTAATTACGTATAAAATTTATTTGACCGCATTTTTTTTTATTAAAATCATTTAGAT